GGCTGTACTGCAGAGAAAAGATTAGGAGAAAGCAAGACTAAAAGGCAGGGAGGAACCAGTGGAGAGGCTGTTAAAGAAATTCCAGCATGGGTCACACTACTGGGAATAAAGAAGAGGCAGAGTCAGGAAATGTTTAAGTAATAGAATTTTTAGTCAATGGACAGTGAGTCAAAAATACTCCCAACTCTAGTTTCCTTTTCCCTTTCCCTCTTTCTCCCCTGGAATGACAGGAAGTGACTCTAAGTGATTTTTTTTTGGTTTTTGGTTGTACTGGAGTTGTGCCTGCTAGGCAGGCACTCTACTCCTTAATCAACTCCTCCAGCCCTTTTTGAGTTGGGTATTTTTGAGATAGGATCTCACAAGCTATTTGCCTGGGCTGGCTTTGAACCATGATACTGCTGATCTCTACCTCCCGAGTAGCTAGGATTATAGGTGTGAGCCACCGGCACCAGGCTCCAAGTGAAATTCTTAAGATTGATGTATAGGGCAGCAGGAAGGGAATGTTTTTTAGAGATCATCTTCACACTCATTCTGTAAAAACAAAGAGAAAACTTCTTGCTGTATGAAATAAGATATGATATGCCTTAGTTTACTTAAATTCTTTCTGTAAAGGACACTTTTGATTCAACTTTGGGTATTTAATTATGAAAGACACTCACGGGTTAAGATAATGCTTAAGAAAAAACAGTTACTAATAACTCAGAAAGAAAAGCTGAGTTCCTAAAGGACTCCACTCTAGTTGTCACCCTTGGTACTGTCAGGTGTGACAGAGTTTGTAAAGGAAAGCTTTACTTCAGAAAGCACTCCTGGGAGAGTATATGGGATATGCTCCCACCTGCTTCCAGCTTTCCCTCAGTTTCACAGTAGATTGCTTCTCAGTTTGGAATAGGAATAAAATAAGTATTATCAAATCATGCCTGATTATCATCTTTAAAAGTGAAGTACTCTAAAATGCATGATTACAGGAGTATTTCTGCCCTTCCCTACAAATAGACCAAGTGTAACAGAGAACAGAGACAGTGAAAGTCCCATTACTGACTCAAGGCCAAAGTAGTCAGGAGCTCAGTGCTGTGCAGTATTCATTCATTCAGCTCCATCAAAATACAGAATTCACCCCCCTAGCAGTGAGAAGCAGAGAGAGTGGGTCCTCCCTCTCAGTCTCTCCTACAGTGAACAGTTGTTCACCTAGCTGAAGATAAATAAGAGGACAAAGAAATAGCCTTCCAAATGTGTCTTTTCAGTCACTGAGGCCTGCAATTATAGTTAACGATGTTTGCATATGCATACTGCAATGCAACCATCCACCCTCTACTGTCACACCGTAACAACATAAGAGTTCTCAAATTAAACTAAGCCCTTTCCTAGGACATGCCTCTGTACAAACTATTCCCTCACAGCCCATACATTTGTTTAGGTAGGAACTGAGCACAGTCCAAATACAAAATGCTGTTGACAGATGTCATAGATACTCCTGTAACTAAAATAGACATGGCTCCTACTGTAACAGCAACCAAAGACAAGTAGAGAAAGAAAAGAGATAATCAAGTATATAATGAAAACTGTACACAAAGAAAAAGTACAAGATGTGATCTATGACAGCATTAAGCTAGAAGGAAGAATGTAACCTAATCTTGGAGGCAAGGCAAGCTTCTCTGATGAACTGACATTTGAGCTAAGATCTGAAGAATGATTAAGAGTTAATTAAGAAGGAAAGATAGGGTTTGCCAGAGAAAGCATCATGTGTAAAAGCCCAGAGTGGAATGGTGCCTGATGTATCTGGGGCCCTGACAATCAGCCAGCATGGCTTGCAGCTCAGACAGCCAAACAGGACATACTGCAGGGCAGCGCTGCAGGCACAGGCCAGCTCACACAGGGTGGCCCTGCTAGCCACGTCAAGGATGTCATTATTTCTCCAAAATTCAATGAGGCCATTTTTGTTCCAAGAGTTTCATGATTAGATATGCCTGCATTTTGAAAAGCCCACATTAGTCTCAGTACAGAGAATGGACTGGAGAACAGAGGGAGAGGAGGTTGGGTGATGAGTCAGGAGACTCAGGTGACTGCAGCAATCCCAGAAGCGCCAGTCTTGGTCCAGCTCAAACCTGGGGTGGCCCTGGAGGTAAAGTGGTAAAGACAGATGTGAGGTCAAACTAGCAGCACTAGGTAAAAATGGTGAATGAGGACACAGGACGTAACGAGGATAGCCACACCACAGCAAAGGGAGGGTTACAGCATTTAGGAAAAACAAAGGTAGAGAAAGAGCATGAGTTGAAGCACATCAGCCTGCTAGCTTCTCAGCTGTGTGAATGTAGGCAAGTTATCCTCTCTAAGCCTCCATTTCCTCATCTAAACCACATGTGAAACAACTGCATACAAAAAAAGATAGGAGAGACTAAGTAAAATAAGATAACACATGGAAGGCTTTATCACAGTATTTAGCATACAGTAAGTCTCAATAAATGTCCCTTACTATTTGAGAGGCCATTTAAACTTCCACTGAAAATGTTATGTACTGAATTCACATTTCCTTCCTTTCAAAACACTATTATAATGCCAATAAAAGTATTTTCTAAAACAGCATAAACACACCTGGGGAGGGGGAGAGTGAAACAAAGAGGCAAGAGTAACAAGCTTTTTGATGATAGAAAGCAGAGGACAATGGTTATGATTCTGCCTACCCTAAAGAGCTGAATCCTAAGCCAGTAGTGTGAGAAGCTTAAAAACAATCTGATTTAGTCAGAGAAACCTCTATAAGGTTGAGGAACTGTGACATGAAGTAACTGTGGAAGTGGAGCTAAGCACAGAGGGCTGTTTTAAAGTCTGTTTACAAAGCCTAAGATACAATTCTTCCAGCATTCTCATCACCTCCACCAGCAAGCAGCTACCCCTCTTCTTCCCTTCTTGGCAGGAAACTATAGAGTCTCTTCTGGAGAAGGTGAAAACAAAACTCTCTGGACTAGGGACAGCTGGCAGAGATAAGGTTTGGGATTCACACTGACACAGGGAGGAGAAGTGAACATTTACAACTTGAACACAGTTACCACTGGCCCCTTGTGACACCCAGACTTTCAACTTCTAACCCAAAGATTTGATCATTCTATGAGGGTTCTATCAGCCCAAAACAGGACCAAACACTATGGACACCAACGGTTGCACAAGGAAGTGTGACTGTCAGATCATATTATAGTCACACACATTAATAATCTACCCACAACTTCAGAGTGTCTCACTCTTAACAAGAGCCAAGAACCAAAAGTCTTCAACATCTGATATTATGGTTATGTTACTATGGCAAAGGAGAAAGGATTTTCCAGGTGTAATTAATGTCCCTGATAAATCAGTTAATTTAAACTTTTAAAGGGGGGATTATGCTGGTTGGACCAACTTTAATCAGGGAGTTTTTTTGTTTTTTTTTTAAAGTAGGGTCAGACACAGAAATCAAAAAAGTACTCTCTTGCTGGCCTTGAAGAAGCAAAAAAAAAAAAACAAAAACCATCATAAACTGCCTGTGCAAAGAGGCAACCCCAAGGAGCTGTAAGCCTCAGGTCTATGAAAGCAAGGAAATAAATTCTGCCGACAACAGAAGAAATTGGAAGATCCTAGACCACAGATGAACTCCAACCCTGGCTGACACCTTGACTGCAGCTTTGTCAGATACTAAGCAGAGGATCCAACTAAGGTGTGCCTGGACCCCAACACACAGAAACTATGCAATAAAATGTGTATTGTCTAAGCTAAATTTGTACAGTTTTCACACATCAAAGAAAGGCCTGTACACTAAAAAAGGAAATTTTACTTTCTATTAACTAATATTTGGTAAGTCAAACTGAAAAAAAAATGATAGCAGAAATGGAAACTTTAAAAAGACAAAAATAGGAAAATAACAAAAAAGGTAGGAAAATAACAAAAAAGGTAAGAAAATTAAATGACTGGCCTCTGAGGATAAATATCAAAATAAAAGGAGTTTCTGAAAGGGAAACAAAAAAAATCATGAAGTAACTCAGAAAAAATTTTAGTACACCAGCTGGAGGTGTGCCTCAAGTGACAGAGCACCTGCCTAGCAAGCACAAGGCCTGAAGAGGACATATGAGTAATGCCTATCTTGATATAGGCAGTAGTTAGCTGGATATAAAATATATGAAAAATATATGAAAAGTTAATGAACTTACATATTTCACCATATGGAAATTTTACCTGAATAACAAAATTTTTAAATTATGAGAAAACTGGGAATTTTTAAAAAGTATTGATATTATAAAATTTTCATTATGATAGCAGATAACAGCAGTTCTACTTTTATTATCTGTACTTGCAAAATAACAAGCTGCAATTTTAGGTAGTGACCCCAAATACTTTTTCTCAACTTTTTATTTGGAAAAAGCATAAACCTACAGAAAAACTGAAAGACTAACACAATTAACAGCCATAGGTTTTGCTATGGTCACTTCCTCTTTCCATCTCTCAGTTCTGGCTGAACCATTTGAAAACAGTTCATGGCATATTGTTCCTTAAGAACATTCTGCTATCTGACCAAAGGACCATTGCCACACCCCAGAAACTTCATTATAACATCTGATAAAATGATATTTGATTACATCAATATGTTAACATATAGTCCATATACAGACTTCCTAAATTGTTTCAGAAATGTGCTTTATAGATTCCTCTCATCTCGAAGTCTAGAAACCGCTCAGATTCATTTACTGGATTTGGCTGCAGTGTTTCTTGACTCTCTGCTTCAACCTAGTACACCATGTTCCAAAATCCCTTTGAAATTCAATTATTTTTGTTCTTTCATGACATTAGCAATTCTGACTCAATACAACCTTTAAATTTTTCTGCAAAAAGTCTGCAAAAAATTATTTAGCATCTTCTACAACTTCTGTTACAGCATTAGTACTCAAAAATCTTTATCCTGACACATTTAGGTGAAGCTATTTACTAAACACAGGCTAGTTCAATGTTTACATATGGTTTAGAATCATTCTGCTAGAACTCACCGCTGAGTCTGAGGAGGCCATGGGGTCTGGTTTGGCGTGGGCACTGAATTTGTGGGACTCACTAGCATGGCACTGTAGATATTGGAAGCAACCACCAGTATGCAGAGAAGAATCGGCCCAATAATTGCTCCTTCCAGACCTAGGTAATATGCTCCACCAGCCACTGCCAAGCCTGTCAGGTAAGGATGGCCACCTCTAGAATAAAAAGCACACCAACTTATTTGTGACTTTTAACAAATATAGTCAATAGAGTAAATGTGAAACACCTTCCTAACACCATGTTCATTTTGTAATATGCCATGCTTTTTTATTCTATTATCACTTTTCTTTAAATTACCTCAATGCAGGTCACTGAACATTGTAATAATTTTGAGATAGAATTTTCTTGCCTGTGTACCACTGTGTGACATCTGCCTCTTTTCATCGAGCTAGCAACTGGAAGAATAAAGTCAGTACCGTTAACAGGTATTTTACACCAATTACACATGGCTTCCTGAAGAAGATTAATGCTAGCTTAGGTTACCTAAGTCACCTGTTCAGTTTATCTCCATCAAGGATAATTAAGTGGGCACAACTTAGCACATAATTCAGTTAATTATTATTTTTATAAGACAATAACCACAGCAGCATTCCTGTTATTCATAGATTAAACTTATGGCAACCTTCTAAAACACAGTTTTTCAACACAGGTAATGATAGAAAGCCACATTAAGGAAGCTATCTGTCAACAAAGCCGAAGATTTTTACTTCACAAGAGTCACAATTGCCCTGAAGCTTATCACACTATCACTTACATAACCGGAATGAAATAAGATAGATTACAGCAACACAGCATATTGATAAAACATGACCACTGACGTAAGAGGGACTAGGAAATAAGTCATGTTCTGTTTGTTTCTAGTTTTAAATGACACAGACAAATGGAACAATTTAGTGAGGAGCAAATAACTAAATACTCTGGAAGGACGTTCTATAGTATATTATAGTTAAATAAATAACACCGTGGTGGGCCAGTCTTCAGGAAATGAATGCATTACATTCGTGATCTGTTTTACTCATTTCAAAAATGGATTTAGGGCAATAGTCCATGTAGGCTAAGTAAATTTTTTCCCTAAACAAAACACTTGAGGAAAATTTCCATCAAAAATGTTTAGGCTGGAGGAGTGGCTAAAGCAGTAGTGTACCTGCTTTGCAAGTGTGAAGCCCCAAGTTCAAATCAAAATCACACCAAAAAGGTGGGGGAGGGGTGACCCTAATTGGGCACCAGCTCACATCTGTAATCCTAGCTACTTGGGAAGCTGAGATCAGGAGGATCAAGGTTTAAGGCCAGTCCAGGCAAACAGTTCTTAAGACCCTTTCTCCAAAATAACCAGAGCAAAATGGACTGGAGGTGTGACTCAAATGGTAGAGCACCTGATTTGCAAGCACAAAGCTCTGAGTTGAAACCCCCGTCCCAACAACAAAAACTGCTTAAAGCTCAAAAAAAAAAAAAAAATGTGTGGACACTTTCAAATCTATTTTTAAAAAACACTTCAGACCAAACTTACAGCAAAGTTTATATAAATGAAAGCACTTAAGTATAAATTATGTATGTAGTCCTACTGTTTAAACGTGGAAACTTCAACTATTAAACATCAATTACCCACACTCTGATGTTCCTTTTATCCTTCATGGCAGGGTTTCAATATGCAGCCCAAACTGGACTTGAACTTGAGATTCTCCTGCCTGGAATTACAGACATACACCACCATGCCTGGCCCTGATGCTCTATTTTTAATTTTAATTTTCTCTTTCAAGTTTTAGGCATACAAGTTTTCATATGGCTGTCTTGGGGAGTTGCTTGTTTCTTTTTGCTCTGGATCTTTGGGGCTCCTGAGTTATCTACATCAGTTATTTTCTACTTTAACTTATGAGACAAAACTATGTGGTACATAATTGGTCTTTACATCATTTAAATTAGCTGAAGAATACTATTTTCTATAAAGTTAAACTCTGTGTACTCTATTTTCAATTTACTTAAAGATAACTTAATGAAGTCTGACGTGGTGAATGCCTGTGACCCAAACTTGCACTTGGGAGGCTGAGGAGGAAGGATCAAGAGTTTAGGCTGGCCTGGGCAATATAGGAAGAAGAAAGAAAGGGAAGGAGGAAAGGAAGAAATTGAATACATTAATAACTATTTTGACATTTTCATAGGCCATATTCTGAATTTAAGTACCACATCAAAATTCAACATTCAGTCACAACCTAGATTCTAATAAGCAATGTGAATCTGGATATACAACTAAGTGAGAACTGGCTTGATTTGTTAGGTGCTGGTGGCTCACACCTATAATCCTAGCTATTTGGGAGGCTAATAATGGAAGGATCATGGTTCGTGGCCAGCCCAGGCAAACAGTTTCATGAGACCCCCAATCTCCAAAATAACCAATGCAAAATGGACTAGAGATCTGGCGCAAGTGGTACAGCATCTGCTTTACAAGTGCAAAGCCCTGAGTTCAAACCCCTATCCCACAAAAAAAAAAGGCTTGATTTACTTAATGCAATTTCTAAAAGAGTGACAGTAACACACAAAAATGGATATTATATGCTCCAAGTTTTTATTCTTATTTAAATTTATTCACCATTGAAAAATTCTGTCTTAAGAGAGCTCTGCTTGCCAGTCATCATCTTGATGAAACCTGATTTTACATGGAAATCTTCAGACATACACTCTCATAATCTTTTTCTCCAAAAGTAAGTACTGAAACAAACACTCATTACTGTACTTAAAATATTTTATGTACACCTGGTAATATATCTTTCCTAAGTTAAATACCACAAAATTGGAAAAAATTATTTACAATTTTATTTTAACCTAGGAGCTCATGGATCATAAATACTTATACAATAACAAAATATTGTATCTTGAAGCAATTTTACAATAAAATGTCATTATCTGAGAGGGAACACAAAAGGATACTTTACTGAAAAATCCTATCACCAGTTCTTTCCCCCAATTCTACCCGCCCCCACCAAAAATCCTTTAAAATACAACAGAAATGCCTTGTTGATTCACCAGTAACTTCAGAATACTTACCCTGATATATCAGAATAGATTGCAGTATCTACAAAGTATGTTGGCAAGAGATGAAAAACCAAAAGCAAGATGGCTTTGCATCCTAACCCCTGTGTCAGCCACAGGTCTAGAACTGCAGGTATCGCTGCCCAGTATGTCCCCAGAAATGGCACCGCTCCAAGTATTGCTGCTAAAGCTAATATAAGATTAAAAGAAGAAAAGCAACTTAATGTCATCAAAATTGTAACAAAATAGCAGAACCTAAATAGTATCTCCTCTAGCTTAAAAATATCCACCCAAACAAGTTAAAGGAATACTCACAAACTCTAATTTAGGGGAAATGATACACCCTACTAACTGAATTTTCTAGTTAAATGAAGGTCCAGTATCTTGTTATTTCTCACATGTGTGTTCAAGTCTTAGTGTCCTGCAGCTGTTCTTTCTGAATCAATGGTTAATACATAGTTCTATAAAAATAGCTGCAGAGTATTTAACTTTGTACTGACTCCAAAGCCAAATCAAAAATTACTTTCCAAATCTTAGCTATGCATGTACATTCTTTACTTTGCTTCTAATAAAAATGAAATCTAACTAGACATATATAAACAAAAACCCTCAGAAATGAAGGACCTTACTTCAAGCTCACCCCCCACCCCTTCCAGAGCAGTATGCCCAAGCACTCCCTCTCTACCTGGCTCCTTTCCAGACCCAGAGTCAAGAAGATGTGAACTCTAGTTCTGGTCCAAACATTAACCATGTATGTGACCTTGGAAAAACTTTGGTTTTTTCTCATCCATACAAGAACAGCACTAGCCTGCCTGCCTCAGGGTAGTTATAAAATAATAATATCCACATGTTCTCAGGGTGCTTGCTTGTCATAGGATGGGTGAATGCACACCTAAGAGAGAGAGAATATGAATAAACTTACGAAGAAAAAGGATGATGGTTGAGGTTAAGTACGGAAGGCAGAGATATTTGGGAGAGCAAGAAACAACAGAAATAAAGGAAGTAAGAGTGGAAGGAGAGGAGCAGAGAAAACAGAAAAAAGAACAAATGGTCATTTAACTACCTGGTGCTTATGGAATGCAGGCATTACTGTCAACACAGATCATAACAGGTATAGATTCAGCTTTTATGCTCTCAGACATATTCGCCTTGCCCCTGGGGCATTATTCCTCTTAGGACAAAGCTATGACAAAGTGACAACACTTTGCTCCCTGCTCATTGGTTCAATTCATTTATTGAGTGCCAGGTATGTGTTGGATATTGTGCTAAGTGCTAGGACATTCACTCATTTAACAAATATGTTTATACTACTTTCTATGTGCTAGGTATGGTTCCATCTATGACAATACAGCAAAAAGCAAGCCTATTATAAACCATTTTTCTGCTCCTAATCTGGACTAGAGCTCAAGTCACAAGAGGTTGTATCCTAGATTTGAGGAAGATGACATTTACTAATGTATATAAAATGGCCTAACTTTCCTTAAATAAAGGACAGTGCAAGTTATGGTTGTTACCTGAAGGTATGAAGACAATATTGATGCCAAATATAGTATGAGTCAGCCAGGTATACAATCCATAGAAGCCAGCCATTTTGAGAGAAGCATCAAACACCCCTCTAGAAGGTTCAAAGACAGAACAAAAAGTAAATAAATATTTACTTTTATTTATCATACTGTGGTTCAGAAAAATCAATGTCTAGATTTCTAGCCTCTTCATTACAGATATGGCAATAGCTTCAATTCTTCTACTGGCCTGAGAACATTGCTTCTTTTTATGGCAAAGAAACATAAAGAGCTTATTTTAAGTTCCTGAAATATATTTACCAAACTATTCTTTAAAGTTCTCTCTCATGAGAAGATAATTGGAAAATCTAAAAATAGCCTATCCACTTCTGAAGCAAGTATTTCAACTGTTACGACTATAAGTGTGAATAATGTGTCCAAGAACAGAATTTTTGGCACTGGGATTTGAACTCAGGGCCTCATGCTTGCTAGGCAGGCACTCTACCACTTGAGCCATGCCCCTAGCCAGGCAGAATTAAATCCTAAGAAGCCCACGCTGTGCCAGTCTTCCCATTCAGAAAGAACAAGTGAGGCTAGGGGTGTAGCTTAGTGGTAGAGTACACGGCTGGAATGCTCATGGTCCTAAGCTCAAGCCCCAGCAAGAAGACGGAAGACAAGTGAGCGGCAGTGCAACTTGTACTTCATCAAATTTCCTTTTCTATTAACAAAATTCTCACAAAATTTCTTTAACTATGCAGCCAAACCTACAAAGTAACTCCCCCACAATGGCTATCAAACAATTGAGGTCACTGGGGAGAACTCATGAATATAAATACAGACGAACATAGAGAATTATTAATTCCAAAGTAAAACCTGGAAGGAAAATGCAAAAGGAGTAAAAATAGACATATATTAAGTGATTAATATGGGAACTTAGTACATGAAGTTCTACAGTAACAGGCAACTGATTTTTACTTTTCACTGGGAAATTAAGGAAAAAGGAGAAGGCCCTGTTCAGCGAGACAAAGGCAGCAAACCTTAAGTAACCCCAAGGTATCACAGAATCATAAAAATCCCTCCCAATAAGGATCCAGATTAAGTAGTATCAAAAAGTCAGAAAGGAAGGGAGCTATCCCACAAGAAACCAGTGTTTTAAATAGCAACTAAACAGAGGAGTCTGAGGAAAAAGAGATGACAGAGCTTTAGGCTTTACCTCTCATAGGAAAAAAAATGGCAGTGTCTTGAGGACACGGAGAAGGGCAGAATAGAAGAGGAATAGAAGAAAAAGGAGTAAGTTAGCCTGGACATGTTAACTCAAAAAAAGATGAAATCACCCTGAAGGAAGCTGAAATAAGAGACAAGGTTTAACAGAGAACTCAGAACAGAAGATTTGAGGTACACTAGAATAGATTAATTATAGCAAAAGATAAGATATCCTTGAGGGACAGTCGTGGAGCAAAAACCAGGCAATAAATAGGCTGTGTTCTCAAAAGGAAATAAGGACAAAGATACACCAGGCAAAGAGGGAAAGAAATCATGTCTGTAGGAGGAAAAAAATTAATAGTCCAGAGATCAAAAAAAAAAGTTGAGAAGGAGGGAATAACAATGTTGACTCCTCACAGGGGTATCACATGGAATTAGTGCAGAACTAAGGAGAGGTCAAAATAAAAAGATGCTGAGGTGATACTTGCATTGACAGCAAAGATATAACAGAATATTACAACTACACCACCCCCCTGGTGGCAAGTGAGCAAAGCTCACCCAGAATGGACCACTTGTGAGAAAGTCTCCTTCTTTCTACCACTAGGAACAGGGATGTTCTCATTGAGGCAAATTTTAACTGATTTTGTGGACCCTAAATGCTCTTTGTATTGTCTGCATGTGGTAAACATATTCACATGACCCAACGAAAGATGAAAAGAATGCATTCACTCTGCTACATTACTCCCAATCTGGCACACAAGCTTTATCAAACAGCAGAGTAAGATCCTCTAAAAACTTACCAGGAGAGAGAAATTTTTAACATCTTCAAGTTCCTACAAATTATTTCTTTGTTTTTGCGTCAGCTTTATTCAACTATAATTTACAAATATAAAACTCACCAGTTTTCAGTAAATTTTGACCTAAGTTACATAACTATCACTGCATTTGGAAATTTCCATCACCCCAAAAAGTTCTTCTGCACTCTTTTTTGTCAATCCCTCCCTGAGCCCTGACTACCACTAGATATGTTTTCCTCTGCTATAATTTTTCCTTTTCTAGAATTTCACATAGCAGAATCATATTTTTTAAAAACTGTGGTAAAATAACATTTAGTTTACAGTGCAGTAGTGTCATATACATTCGCACTGACATTGTGTAGGTGTCGGTGTCTGGTTTCTTCCGACTTCTGAGCTTCACCCACGTTGTTTAGTGTGTGAGTAGTGTGCTCCTTTTACCTGCCATGGTACTGCATCACGTGGATACAGCACAGCTCACTGATCCACCATCTGATGAGAACCTGGACTGTTTCCAATTTTAAGGCCATCATGGATAATGCTACCATGACATTCAAGTGTAAGCCTTTGTGAACATACACTTCCTTTTTCTTCAGAAGATCTAGGAATAGAGACACTGGGTCATATGGTGTCCAACTTTATAAGAAACACCAGCAATTGTTCTGATCTCTTAATTCAGAACAAGTTTATGAGTACATGGACACAAACTCAGAAGTCATTACTTTGTACATCTCACAGTGTCTCCTCAAGGTGTGAGGCTCAACTTTACACTCACAGTTCATATGAATGGATGCTGGCAGAAAGAGCAACTCAGCTCACAAACAGCTAATAGCAATGCACCCAAAGCACCAAGAACTCACCCAGTGCACAAAAGGCACTCAATAAACAACAGCCATTTTGGTGCTATTGTTGGCATCAGAGTTCTTGGATCAGTGTTCTTGACCAATACCCAGAGGATTTCACTGAAAACTCTAACTAGAAGCAGCAGTACCTCAAGAGCCTAGTGTCTCAGAATGGAGAATGGAAGGTCAAAAGAAATTAACATTTAACTAGCAGCCAGGTGTAGACTGAACAATGGTCCCTCAGTAATGTCTATACCTAAGCCCAGAACCTTTGGGTGTGTTTCAAGGCAGAAGGAACTCTGCAAATGTGATTAAATTAGGAATCCTGGGATGGAGAGATTATCCTGGATTACCTAGTTCAGCCCATATAATCATAGAAGTCCTAAGAATGAAATGAACCCTTATTTTACACCATATACAAAAATCAACTCCAAAATGGATTAAAGACTTAAACACAAGGCCAGAAACTACACAATTACTTGAGGAAAATGGGAAAAGCTCCACAGCATTGGTCTGCGCAATTATTTTTTTTACATGACCCCAAAAACACAGGCAACAAAAGTTAAAATAGACAAAAAGATTACATTAAACTGAAAAGCTTCTGCACAGCAGAAGAAAAGATCAGCAGAATAAAGACACAAGCTATGGAATGGGAGAAAATATTTGCAAACCATATATCGGATATGGAGTTAACATTCAAACAAAAGGAACTCAAGTCATTAACAAGAAACAACCCCTTTCCAAGTAGGCAAACAATGTGAATAGACATTTCTCAAAAGAAGACATACTAACATCTACAGGATGTATGAAAAATGCTCAACATCATTACTCAACAGGGAAGTGCAAATTATCAACACGGAGCCTATCAACATGCCTGTCATCGAAAACATGTAACAAATGTTAGAGGAAACTTAGAGAAAAGGAAATCCTGAATACTGCTAGGGGGAGTATAAATTAGTACAGATACATGGAAACAGTGGAACATACGGAGTTTCCTCAAAACTTGAAAACATAGCTACCACATGATCCAGCAATCCCACGTCTGCATATCCAGAGCATATGTATGTCAGAGACACATCTGTGCTCCCATGTTTATTGCAACACTATTCACAATAGCTAAGATATAGAATGAACCTAAGCACCCACTGACCAGCTTGGATAAAGAAAATGTGGTGTATGTACATATAATAGAGTATGATTCAAAAAAGGAAAATCTGCATTTGCAAGAACATGGTCAAACATGGAAGACATCACACTAAGTAAATAAGAAAGGCACAGAAAGACAACTACCTCATGTTCTCACTCACAAGTGAAATCTAAGAATTGAACTCAAAGAAGCCAAGAGTAGAACAGTGGTTGTCAGTGGCTGGGAGTAGGGGCTTGGGAGATAATCAAAGGACACAAATTTTCAGTTATAAGATGAGTAACTTTAGGACATCTATTCTGCATCACAGTGGCTACAGCTAACAATATGTATGAAATTTGTTAAAAGAATAGATCTTAACTGTTCTTACAACAAAAACAGCAAGAATGTGAACTAATGAATATATTAGTTCAACTTAATCATTTCACAGTATATACACTATAACAACACATCACACCGTATACAGAAAATATATGCAATTTTTGTCAGGTACACTTATTTTTCTTAAGGAGAAAAGGGTTTTTTTAGCCTGATAAGCAAGAAGCAGTTGTGCATTGCTGCTTGAATTCTGCTATAACAACAGATGAAAAGATCTACTGAGTGGTTCTTCCACTTTTGAGTGTCTCCCTGATTTGGGCTCTGCCACTTCAAAGTAAGCTTTGGCTGCTTCACTTCTGTACTTCCAGTGAAGAATTCCCAGAATGTGGTATCACGTGGGTGCTCAAAACAAGTGATTTTAGGATTCAAGCACTTAAAGAGTCCTATGCTCCAGTGATTCTACCATTGGCAGTCTACATCTACCAACAGGAGATGTCCTGCTCCTGTAACCTCTAAGTCCAGACTGCTTGCTGTGATCCTCTTGTGTTTCTTCAAGGTACAGGGCTTGTTGCCTGGAAAGGGGTACCCTTTGGAATATGAAGCCAGGCTTTGCCTAATGAACTTCTGGATGTTTTTTGTATACCCTCTTTTTTCCCAAACACCTTCTTGGCTATGGAATGAATTGTGTTTCCCCAAAATTCATGTGTTGAAGCTGTAATTGTCCCAATGTGATGTTATTTGGAAATGGAGCCTTTGAGAGGTAGTTGGTTCAGATGAGGTTATGAGGTTATGAAGCTCTCCTGATGGAACCA